AAATATCTTGGAAAGTCAGTCACACAAGTGACCCCAGGCCTGAGGACACCAGTGCAGCCGTGAACAAGACAGGCCCTGCAGCCACCCGTCCGGAAGATGCTATGCAGGGGCTCCTGGCCCTTGACCTCCTGGAAACCCAGTTTTTTACATTTACTTCTTATTGAGGTGTAAGGTTTGTGCACCAAATTGAACAGCTGTCAAGGGTGCAGCTTAGTGAATCTGTATGAATGAATATGCCCATGTAACCACCACCCACATCAAGCATTGAGTACACCAGCACCCGAGGAGGCTCCCGTAAGCCCCTCCTGTCAATCCTGCCCCCCAGAGGTGACCACCATTCTGACCTGTATCACCACAGACTGGTTCACCTACAAATGCACTCGCGCGGGCACTCTCTGTGTCTGGCCCAGTGTGTTTGACATGAGGTCTGTGTGGCTCGCCCCGGCTGTTCCTGCAACACCAGCTCTTCCTTTCCGTGGCTGAGTGGCTTCCCATTGGCTGAGCCACGATTATTTATCTAGTCTCCTCTGATGGACATGGGGGTTGTTTCCAGTCATAATTAATATGACTAGAGCAGCCATACTCACACATATCTTTTGTGCACATCAACATGGCACCCCGTGCTGGAGAGCAGACTCCGAGGGGTTGCCTTCCAGAGCTCCAGGGAAGAAAAGGGGGGTTAAAGGCTATTGAGCTGCTCCCTGGGGTCATGAGTTTTCTGGGTCCACCCGGCCAGTCACAGGAGAGGAGGACAGAGACAGAGAAGCCCCCAAGAGGAACTTCTCCAACCTCATCACTGAGCCTCGAGCCAGCCTCTGTGTGTGTGTGTGTGTGTGTGTGTGTGTGTGTGTGTTTATATTCATTTCCTGCGGCTGCCATAACAAATTACCACAGACTCAGTGGCTTATAACAACAGAAATGTGTTCTCTCACGGTTCTGGAGGCCGGAAGCTGGAAATCCAGGTGTCAGCAAGCATGGCTCCTACGGAGACTCTGAGGGAGAGTCTGTTCCATGCCTCTCTCCCGCATCCTTGGGGTTCCTTGGCTTGTAGACACATCACTGCAATCTCCGCCCCCACCCTCACAAGGCCTTCTCTGTGTGTCTCCACATCTCTGTGTCTCCAAATCTTTCTCTCCCCCAAGGACACCAGTTACGGGACTTAGGACCCATTCTAATACAGTAAGATCCCATTTGAACTTGATTTCATAGACAAAGACCCTATTTCCAACTGAGGTCACATTTCCAGGTACTGAAGACTTCAACATATCTTTTTTTATTATTATTTTTACTAGAAGTCCGGTGCACAAAATTCGTGCATGGGCGGGATGGGGGGGGATCCCCTCAGCCCAGCCTGCACCCTCTCCAATCTGGGACCCCTCGGGGGATGTCCAACTGTCAGATCCTGGGGATCGGGCCTAAACCAGCAGTCGGACATCCCTCTCACAATCTTGGACTACTGGCTCCTAATCACTCACCTGCCTGCCTGCCTGGTCGCCCCTCATAGCCCCCCCGCCGGCCTGGTCACCCCACGCAGCCTGCTGTTCAGTCGTTTGGTCGTCCCTCACTAACCCCCGTGCAGGCCTGGTGGTAGGCAGCCATCTTGTGAGGGCATGAGGGTTAATTTGCAGATGACCTCTTTATTATATAGGATTGTTGAAGACTTCAACATATCTTTAAGGGAACACAATGCAACCAACAACAGTGATTATGACTTTGTTTGTTTGTGTGTGGGTGTACATGAGTGTCTATGTGGGTGTGTATAGGTGTGAAGGAGGACTGAGTGAGTGCGTGTGTGTGTGTGTGTGTGTGTGTGTGTGATTGTAAGGATGTGCTATGCGGCTGTGGGCACATATATATGAGGAAGCATGTGCCCTTCTGTCCGTGGCTCACACACCCTATGGGACAGGCTGAGGAGGGTGACGAGGCAGCATGGTCTCAGCGGGCCTGACTCCCTTCCGTGGTTGAAGAGAGGCTTGGGGGCAGCGGGCGGCCTTGCCTCATGAATCTGGAAGTGAGCTGTGAGAAGCAAGAATAAGGCTGTTTGTTGAGTTGGGCACTGACTGGGAGGCCAAGGCAGCGCCTCTCTGGTGGCAGCGCCTGTTCCCAGGTCCTCTTCCAGGAACCTTCCTGGAAGGCCCTTCCACCCAGTCTCCCTTCCTCTGCACCCCAGTTGCCTGGACTGGGAGATGCTGGCTGATTCATCCCCTCGGGGGCTGGAAGCCAGCACTAAACTACCTGTTGTGTCTGCCGGGTGGGGGTGGGAAGGTAGCCAGCCCCTCCCAGGCCCCCACTCCCAGGCCAATCCAGAGTAGTACCCAATCACTGTCCATGCCTGGGCTGGGGCTGGACCCCAGGAAATGGAGAAAAGACAGAGGGGAGCACCTGGCCAGGTAAGGCCCAGGATGATGAGGGCTGCCTGCCTCCCCAGGGCAGCTCTTTTAGGCAAACCCACACCCAGCAACAGGACAATGTCAGCTCAAGGTCTGCTCTGAGCCGCTTATCTCATTTAAACTTCACAGCCACGTTTAAAAGCTGTTCTCATCATCCCCTTTGACAGATGCCATCACTGAGGCCCTAAGGAGTTAAATGATCTGCCTAGGATTACACATAGTTATTCATAGTTGTTGGAACATTTTTATTTTCTCTGAAAATCTGCAGCCTCCCCATTCTCCAGACCCAGACCAGGGCTGCTCCCACTGCAGCCCACCTGCCACCGCACACCATCGCAGTGCAGTCTTCCCCAGGAGGACCCCCTGGCCGTCGGGGGATCTGGGGGTGCAGGGGACCGGTTAGGAGTGGTCTCTCCTCTCATCCCACTCCCTGGCTCCTCTGTGGTGTACCAGTTTTGCTTCTGGTGTGGCAGCAAGCTTATAGTCTCTCTGAGTGTGTCGGTGGGTTTGTGCGCACATTGGGGGGGGGGCGAGGGGGGGGAATGGGGCTGGACCTGTGGGGTGGATTCGTCTACCGGAGTAGGCTCAGGTGAGGGAGCCCCTGTGGATGTTCGTGAAGAGCCTGCCCCCTGCTTGTTTGGGTGTCTGTAGAGTGGCTTTCCCATTTCCCCAGCCTCAGCCTCACCAGATCACTGCCCCCGCCCTCATTTCACAGATTCCTGGGCCCCACGTGAGAACCTGCTGAAAACCGCCTGTGACTGGGGCAGACACCTGAGTCTCAAGCCCCGCCCGCGGGTGCTGCCCGTGCCCTTGAGCCGGCATGGCCCCACCCCACAGCGGGAGTGTCCTTACTCAATGGGATGGGGTGACGGGGAGGGGAGGGAGGCTTTTCCCGCCCTCAGGGAGCACCCAGCTCCCTAGATGGGAGGTTCATTAACCCAGAACTCAGCAGTTGGTGGTGGGGGGAGTGCCAAGACTTGGACTGGCTACAAAGGGTGGAGGGCACCCCCCAGCACTCCCGCTGTGGCTGGCGGGGGAGGGGCGGTGACGTTCAGTGGCCTCATGCCGCAGAGAGGAAGTTGCTAATTGCTGATCTGATGACTGGGCGGCCTGAGGAGTGGGGTGATGATGCCACTGGCTCACGGAACAGGCACCCGGGCCCAGGAGGGGGTCCTGCAGAGACGGGTGGGCCCGGCCTGCGCTCTGCAGAGCTGTGGCCAAAGGAGCAAGGGGTGGGGGGTGCTGCGGCTGCAACCGTGGGAAAGGGCTTCTCTGGGAATTCCCTCAGCTGAAGGGGACCGAGCTCAGAGGCCCCGAGGGAGTTTGGGAAGAGGCTCCAGAAGGCAGAGGGGAGAGGATGGCAGAGGGGCCTTTGCTCCCCCCCCCACCTACACTCCCCTCACTTTCCCATCTTCCCCACCCCCGCCTTTGTCCCATCTTTGGCCCCTGTGGCCCACGGTGGTGAAGAAGGGGGGAGTAGATGGAGGCCTTTTAACACCAGAAGACCCACAGACAGCAGCCTACTAGGGCACACCATCCAGAGCTGGGATGCCTCTAGCAGCCCTGGAGGAGGGGAGGGGACGAAAGGCAGAGAGAACAGCCCACGTGAAGCCTGGGCAGTGGGGATTAGGTAAACTGATGGAGGTCGGGGGCTTGGCTGCCATAGTTATGGGGAGAGAGGATGTGAGCAGGGTCAGTCGGTACCAAGAGCCACACTGTCCCTGCCTGGCCTCCACTGCCTGGTCAAGGACCCATCCCCTAAGTCCTCAAGGGTATCAACCCCCAACCAACCTGC